ACAGTTTTTTTTATAATGTATCTTTTAGTACAACCCCAGTATCTCTTCACGGCTCCCTTTCAACTAATACTTCTCTCATTCCTTTTGGTGCCCCATCTTCAGAGATCATAGGTTGTAATTTGTTGTCAGCCCAAAAGTTGTATTTCTCATGTTTTCCACCTGGACCTAAATTTATCCTATTAGCAATAAGAGCATTTCCTTTATAAGAGTCATGACTTCTAGAATTGTCAAATACAAAAGGAGCAGTGCAGTTTGGAAAAAGAGCTTCAAAATAGGAACTGCTTTCAATTCAATTTGATTTACTAAATTCTCATTTGTCCAATAACCCACTTGATTTTTATCTGGCTTCAAAAATTCTTTCGCTTCTTCAGGGACATATGGATTATCTTGAATCTGATCTTGGTTTAAACATAATCTTCTGTTAAAAATTCACTTATCATGATACTTCTACCATTATCTTTTTCTTTAATGTAGCTTGCCATTTTTTGCCTAAACTCCCCTTTTTCCATCATTAGAATAAAAAGATGCACTTACTAGAATTATTTCCCTCTCATCAGGACCAAGATTTGCTCTAAGGTTTCATCATCATATATTTTTCATAATTAACTACAAATTTCCTTCTATATTCAATGACATCTGGCTTTTCATGGACATCATAATATACACCCTAACAATTTTATTGAAAGGTATACATTAAGCCAGTGATGTGCCATTGGAAGAATTATATTTTCTTTTGTAGTAATTCCATTATTTATTAATAAATTTTTTAAACTTTAATGGTGTAGTACCTCCTTGACTTCTTATCCATTCATGATGCTTTCAGCAACATCTTCATCATCAATTTTTTAATGCTGCTTGAATGGGAGTGATTTATTTGACAATCAATATAAAGCCTTATACCTTATGTTCTAGCCTTACCTGGAACAGCAAAGCAGAATGGTTATGAATGTTTTGTCATAAGAAAGTTTGATATGCAACTGAGAAAATTGCTTTAAATTCATCTGTTGTTTTGTCAATTGTGTAATAATATTTATAATTTCTAGTTTCAATGGTGGATGGAGCCATTGGTTTGCTACGAATTTTAAAAAATTCAAGGTCTTGTACAAACCTATGAAATAAAAAAAAAGATTATTTTTAATACAATATTTAAATAAATAAATAAACAAATAATTTAATAAAATTATCTCTTAGAATTCAGAGTGATAAATTTAATTAATAGAGTAATATAAAGAACCTTTCATTTTTTAAGCATTTTTGATAATTTTTTATACATTTTGGATTATCAACAAATTGTGAAAAATGAAATAAAGTGATGAAAGTAAGGTTCTGGCCAAAAACAAAATTAAACCAGCTACTCCCTCTTGTTTTATGGGTAAAGGAGGAAGTCTTGGATCTACATCCAATTTATCATTTGAATTGTTAATAGAATTTAAGGAAAAGTGCCTTAACCATCTTCTCTTTATACTACCAGAAAAAGTAAATGCTTTCTTTATATTTGATATAAAACTTTGAATCTCATATTTTATCCAAGTTTCCCAATTAAATTATAAATATTACATAAACTGGAGATAGACAATCTTTATAAGCCCTCAACATATATGAAGCATTGTCACATAAACAATATGAAATGTTAAATGATGTAACAATGGTGATGACTAGTTGAGATATAGTATTTACTGTCCCATAATTTTTTTTTAAGATTAAACTACTTGATGCCAGATTCACAGAAATCCAGTGGTGGTGATTAAATAATCTATTAACATTAATAAATAATTTATAGATCCATTTTCAAAACTTCAATTTCTCTATGGGCATTATACTACTAAAAAGATTATCCAAGCAAACAATCTAGAAAGGATAAAAAAGAATATGCACCTCAAGGGATGTTTGTTTCTGGCCAAATTTGATATTTTATCTGGTGTGAATCATGCAAAATGCCATGTTGTGTTTTTAGTAAAAATATATTGACTAAAAGGAGCAAAAGGATTTGGAAATTCATTTGAACAATGTGATTATAAAAATCACTTTTGGAAACCCATTCTCTCTATGATACTGTATTTGTTAAAGTAGATTTAACATGTGGATTATACATAAAGTCGAAATGGTCAAATTTATTATCATTCAACAGGCTGAACATACAGAAAAATTAATCAAAAGCTTCAAATTGTCATAACTCAGTTGACATCTGGCTGTTTTGGATAAAATAATTACTATCCAAATTCTCTTAATGAGACATAATTCATAAAATTCGAATCACTGATTATTGAGCTTTTTGATTTACCCAATATCTTACAATAACTTGTCATTTATCAATGCTATGAACATTGCAATACCATTATTCAAATCCCTTTATGTGACTATTCTAATGGGCTGTGTTTCATTAAATTTGGATCACTGGTTTTCAAGATAAATGATTTTGAAATTATTAATTATAATAAATCATGTGATGTGACAAAGTCGAAATGGCCAAAATCAATTTTGACCATTTTGACTTTCATGTTATAAATGTGGATCTCAAATTGAATAATTGTATTATACTTTAAAAATGGCATATAAAAATATTTGTATTTTTTGTTGAGAACAAATCAAGTGACCTTGTCAAATATATTTTGACAGTTAAAATGTTTAAATGTTCTCAAATAACAACTCTAGCAAAAGTATGGGCACTTGTACATTTGGTGGACAAAAGTTTGCATTCAAATTTTCTTTTGAATTTATTTCAAAAATATACTAATTAAAACATTTTTAACCTTTATATCATTCAAAAGCTCTTGTTCTTAGAATATGTTCATGATATGAAATTTTAAAGTTTTGTCATGAAAAAGGATAAAAAATAAAAATAAAAAACAATGTAAAAATAATGAAATGTCAATAGATAAAAAGCTTATTTTTTATTTCAAAAAAAAAAAATTATTTAATATGTAGTTGGCCAACCATTGTTAAGCAATGAAACCTTCAACCATACTGTCAATTAAATTTAAGTATTCTTCACAAGGAGTTTATTGCCATTCCTCTCAAAAAAGTTACAATTCATCTTTATTTTTTGGGTGTTCAAAACATTTCTGCCAAGTTAATTCCACAGATGTTCAATTGGATTAAGATCTGGAGATTGAGAAAACCAATCTTCTGGAATTTTTAACTTTTTCTCAGATATCTATTCTTTAACATTTTTAGCTGTGTGGATTAAGGTGTTTCTAGATTTCCCAATCAAAAATGCAATAAAAATTGTTTGGTCGTATTTCCTGGTCATTTCATAAATAGTAAAATCGGCAATAATAATATATTAATATTAATATATACTATATAATACAACTCACCTACCATAAATATCCGACCACCTGACGATCATTTTAATAATTGGGAAACTTGTACCTCACGCAGTTCAAAACTTTATTAATTAAACCGGGACTGGTGCATTAAGTAAACGTGTTTTTAAAGTCAATTTAATATAAACTTAAGGTTTTGTCGAGTTTGCATTATTAATGAATTTCGGATGAAAACTTTAAATTAGGCAAAAAATTTCGTGATTTTTATGAAAACTTTGAGCTTAGTAAAAAGGTTCAAAACTCTGTTAAATTATGGATTATGACATTAAGTAAGTCCACTTAAAATAACTTGAATGATATATGGTTAAAATTTGAGAAAATTTGATCAAGTATAGACAACAAAACGTAAAGCCTTAAAATTTGCATTTTGTCAACTTTATTAATTGCTTTATATGACAAAATTACGGGATGGTCAGATACTTTTTAAACCATTTTCACAAACTAATTTATGCTGACACTGTATTGTAAATATATGCAATCTGTTACGTTAAGCACGTTTTATTAAGGTAATAATATACATTACAACAAAAAAATTTGACCTTTTATTACATGTAAAAATTCAATCGGAAATTTGCTTTTTTTGGATGATTTGCTAAATATTTCCATTAATACCATACTGAACTGTTCGAAATTTTTGTAATATAGATTTTTGATATCAAATATGAGTTTACTTAGTATAGTAGAAAAGGGTTTATTTAAGAAAACGTACTTTATTTAGTAAGTACTTGACGTTACACAGCGCAAGTGGTCGGATATGTTTTGCGCATTTCTTTGATCAATGCAATAGTCTATTTATTAAATTTTAAATAAATGAATTTAGCTGTTTGTTGTATTTTTTTTATATATATAAAGAATAATAAAATTCTCTTTCCATCCATCTGGAAAATTCATGTGACAAAAGATCTGAAACTTATATTCAATTCGTCATGTTTTTGTGTAACACGTCAATTTTAGTAGCATAATAAATTTGGTAAACTTGTGCAACCTTTGAAGCTCAAATCCATGACATATATAGGTATTTGTCTTGGCCAGTGTTGAAATTTCGTTGTGTAACCAGTACAAATTTAGAAACTATCTCCAAAAATTAAAAGGTTGATTGGTGTGTAATGTTACACCCGCACCGAATTTTCAACACTGCCTATTTGTGCTCTAGTATCATTTCTAAATTTAGACTAGTTAGATCATCGTTACTGAATTTGGCAGATTAACCAAAATTACGCGTAGACTTTTTTTGAAAATTTTATTTTCATTTTTGAATGAATCACAAAATAGCAATTTTTGAAATTTGAGCGCGTGCGTGGCACAGCAACAGGAGGTCTTTAGACCGAGCCAACCATATTAAAATTTAAATTTCGAATTTATATAACAAATTTAAGCAGGAATCCAGCTTGGTGTCATATAGAAGTAAAGATAGTTTATAAGAAAGTTTTTAAAAAATTCGACAAATTAAATCCTTGAGATTTTGTACGCGTATTACAAGTATATTGTTGTTTCTAAATCCATATAAAGGAAGGCTACTTACGGACTAAAGTTGAGGCTTTGCGAATGATCTGCAAAATTCTGTACCAAAAATTTATTAGTTTTCTCTACTTGTTTCACGGATCACGATTTAAAGTTCTCCAGTTCATAACAAAAATTTTAAAGAACTAACTATCTGATTACTTGTTGCCTAGCATGGAAAATATTTTAAAGAACAATGACAATGGTTATGATATTAATGCAAAAGAAACTAAAGATATAATTTTGCAAAACTACTTTTATCAAGAAGAACCACCGTCTTCTCTAATCATATCGTATCATAATGCCATCACTGATATATATCATTTAAAAAAATTGAACAGTAACCTGTCAGTCTCTCTATTTGAAGAATCATCATCTTCATTACCACTGCCGCCATTATTATTATCATCACTGCAAATCAGTGCACAACGTAATAATAGTTTGTGTCTCTCATCACAATCCAATCTACCTTTTAACAACAACAACATTAACGATCATCAGAGGTCATTTTTTTATAACGCAATCTTACATACTGGATTTGTAAGTATTACAAGTATATATATATATATATATATATATATATATACACACACACATATATTTATAAAATTATTCAAAATTTGTATTTGAATTAAATTGTTGATTGGTTATTTAATTTATAGGATAATTCAATTCATTTACCACAAAACACAACCAATGGCTTTTCAAATGAGAATAGAAAGATTGATGAGCTGGAAAATGATGCATTAGAAATGCTTATTAGATTGAAATGTAGCGACAATTATGATGGTGATGATAACTATGATGATGATGGTGATAATAAATTACACGATAAGGAATATGATGCAGCAGAAATGCTTATTAGATTGAAAGATGGTAATGTTGTTGACGATAATAATCATAAACATCGCAATGATGAAGACGATGCTTTGGAAATGCTTATTAAATTAAAGAATAGTAATGTAATTGATATTGATGACAAGTTAGGCAACGAAGGAAAAATGGACATTGGTAATGAAAATCGAGAAGACTACAATATGGAAATTGATTCTAATAATGAAAAAGAATCTAATGTTGGGATAGCTAATTATCTAGGGATAAACAAACATGATATATTAGAAAGCAATAGAGTGTTATTAGAAACTAATAGAAAATTAATAAATAATAGAGAAAAGCCGCCATATTCTTATTCCTCATTAATTGGACAAGCAATTTTGCAGTCACCCGAAAAAAAATTAATTGTTAATGATATTTTTAAATGGATATCAAGTACTTATCCTTATTATTCAACAAATCAAGGTTCATGGAAGGTAAATTTTTTTTTTTCACTCACACACAAACACACATATATATCACTATATGAATTGATGATTAATTTACAATAAATAGAATTCAATTCGTCACAATTTATCAAAAAGCAAAATGTTTATTCGGGTAGAAAATGGTAATTCTCCAAGGACATGTTGGTCCGTTGACCCTGATTTAGAGCATTGTTTCGTTGATGGAGTATTCTGTCCATATGTAATTATTTTTTCATTTTAAATATTTAAAAGTTTTCTAGAAATTTTTTTTTAATGAAAATATCTTTTTATAGATATTTCATTACGCGAAAAAACAAAAACAAAAGAAAGGAGGTCGAAAAGATAATAATTACTACAGCAGGAAAACCATTTAATGATAAAAATAAAATAAAAAGATTTACAAGATAGATATGTGAAATTCACGTCCATAAAAATGATTAACCAATTAAAAGTAGTATCGTCCTCACCCCCATATTTGATTGAATTTTAATTTCATATATATATATATTACAACATATACACAATTTTCATTGAAAAAAATTTTTTTTTTGCATTTTGTATTTATTTAAATTAAAAAAATTTAATTTAAATGTGTAGTCTAGTTTTATTAGTAGCATTAGAAATTATTTTTTTAATTAATAAAAATAATAAAAACAATGGATGTCTGTGAATTTAAAGAGAGTGAAACACTTAAAGTAAGATCATCTCATCCTCATCACAATAATAATAACAATAGTAGCAGTAATAATAATAATAATAACAACGGTAGTAGTAGTAGTAATAATAATAATAAAAATAACAATAATGTAATATTAAATAATGACATTTCATCACAGAATAAAATAAATGCCTCACGTAATCTCATCAACGGTGTTGATAATCCAACAATTCAACAGCACAATAATTTGCAGAAACAACAACAACAAAGAAAAAGGAAAACTCCAACAAAATCAAACTTTTCAAAATCAGAAAAACTAGCCAAATCTATATTACAAGATTCAAAATTACCATCATCGTCATCGTCACCATCGTCATCACCACCACCAACACCCACAAAAAAATTACATATTAATTCATCAACTTCAATATATCTTTCTTATCCTGTAATAATATTATTTATAGCAACATTATTATCAGTAGCTTTAATGTTTGACTCATTTCTAAATTATCAAAAAGACCCTAAAGGATGCAATTTATCATATATGCATCCTTATTATATAAAACAAAATGGATTTGACAGTGAACAAACGCGATTTGCCGGAAAATATAGCCTCTATTTATATAGAGACCAACCTTATGACACTAGTAATCAAGTATTGCAAAATTTTATTCTAAATTCTCAAATTCTCTGAATTATCATTAATTTTTTATTCCTAATTCTTAAAAAAAAGCCTCTAGGAATTCCTGCACTTTTTATTCCTGGTAATGCTGGCAGTTATAAACAAGTACGTTCAATAGCGGCAGAAACTTCAAAACTATATTATGAAGTTATATCTAAACAATCTAGATCATTTGGTAACGGCATAAAACCAATTGATTTTTTTACAGGTAAAAACTAATTAATCAATCAATTAAATTAACGTTTAAATAAATAAATAAATAAATCATTTCTACATTCATTCATGCACACGCATATATAGTTGATTTTAATGAAGAGTATTCAGCGCTTCATGGGCATTCTTTATGTGAACAAGCAGAATATCTTAACGACGCAATTAGATATATTTTATCGTTATACCCATCAATTAGGAAAAGTCAACAGACAAGTTCATCATCTCAACCATATCCTGATCCAACAGCAGTAATATTAATTGGTCATTCGATGGGAGGTGTTGTTGCAAGAACTTTATTCCAGACACCAAATTTTCAACCTGGCTCAATAAATACTATTTTAACAATGTCTACACCTCACACCTTACCACCTGCTTCATTTGATTGGAAAATAAGTAAAAACTATAATGACATTAATGAATTTTGGAGGAAAGGCTATAATTATAATTATAATTCAAATTCAAATTATAGTTATTCAAAAGATACCGAATCCTCATCAAATTCTTTGATGGATGTTACTTTAATATCAATAGCTGGTGGAAATTTAGATACTATAGTTTGTAGTGACTCAACAAATATAAATTCACTTGTTCCTGATTCAAATGGTTTCACTGTTTTCACAACCTCCATACCTAAAGTTTGGACTTCAATGGATCATCAATGTATTTTATGGTGTGAACAATTAGTAAAAGTTGTTGCCAATACTTTGCTAAACATTGTTGATATCAGACGTTCAACCCAAACAATACCAACATCGCAAAGAATGAAGGTATTTAGAAAAAATTTATTGACAGGATTAGAGGATTCTATTGACATTGATAAATCTCCAAGGGGTAAATTTTACATGCCAAAACATTCAAACCTTTTATTAATAATAATTATTTTTATTTTATTTTAATTTTTCAAAATAATAACAATGATGATAAACTTTTTTTTCGTTCAAATAATTAAATTTGCATACACATGCAAACGCACAAAAATAGAATTTTTTGATATATTGGATTTGGGAAAAGGGTCGTATCAATTTTTAGATATGGGGCAAAGACTTGTTTTAAACAACACAAGCTCAAAATCTCAAATCTATTTAATGCCAATTCCACCATCAGCTCCGCATTCTACTTTAAACACCTTCACGTTTTTAACTGATCAATCACTTTCAAAATATTCAGGAATCAAACTACTTTTATGTGATGTTATGCCAACCGAAGTACCTGAACGAGTGACCGACACCGATTTCTATTCAAACGATTTATTATTACCTATAGCGCCTAAATTATCATGCTTTTATATCTCATCTGATGATATTGTTTTATTACCAGAATCGACATTTGAAAGCAAAAACACATTTTCTGATAAAACATTTAATTTTGTGAAATTAAAAGTAAAAGAATTGGGTGATTATCAATACATTGTTGTTATGTTTGATGAATTAAATTTAATGAATAAAGGATTTTTTATTGGTGAATTTTACGATGAAAGTACAACAATCATGGAAATAAATAGTTCAATTAAAGGTATTATTATTATTATTATTATTATTATTATTATTATTATTATTATTATTATTATAATACTATTAACTAACTAATTAATATACATCATTTATTTATTTTGTTAGAGGTATTGATGGACGGAATTCATATTGATGCATTTCCTGAACACAACGCACTAGTATCTAATTTAAAAATTCCTGTGATAGATAGTAGTTTATTGACCTATAAAATTTCAATTCAACGTTCAGGATGTGATGGTAAAAATTATTATTATTTATATACGAGATATTATTATTATCATCATCATTTAATTAACTAAATTATCTTTGAAAAAAAAGGACAGCAACATTTTGCACCATTTTTACGTCAATCAATATCATCAATGTATGAATCGAAATTTTTCGTTAATGTAAACAATATTGAATTAAATATTCATGGTCGTTCACCATTTGGAGCGGGATTTAACAACAACAATAATGGTAGCAATAGTAATAATAGTTTCATAATGAATCAGAAAGGATTAGAATTACAATTTTGGATTGATCCAACGTGTCCTTCACCATTATCAATTGATATAGAGTTTGATTTTTATGGCAGTTTGGGTAAAATAGTGATGCGATTTCAGACAGTTTTGGCTGCTTTTCCCTTCATAATAGTTATTATAACCTTTTATCATCAATTAAAAGAATATAATCATAGTGGTTAGTATATAATTAATTATCTTTATTTTTTATTTTTTTTTTATTTTTATTTTTTGGGAAAAGGCTTATTATTAACAGTGTTGTTATATATTACTTTTATATCATCATCGTCATTATTTTAGAAACATTTATAAGTTTTGGACATGGTTTGGAACTTTTTGTTCGTCAATCACTTTTCAAATTAATTTTATTTGTTTCCCTATTATCAATCTATCAATCAATTACTACAACCTATCATTCACTATCAGATTTATTGCCAATTGATTCGTACATAAATGAAAGACTACTATCGTCATCACTGTTTGAAATTGACGATATTTTACTTGGAAACCAAAATCTTTGTTTTTGGTTTTTGCCGGCTTTATTTTTGATATTGAGTACCGGAATAACAACTTTATGTTGGATATTGTTAAGTTTATTTATTAAATATGTAGCAGGAATAATCATTTTTATTAATAATCTAGGATTATTAAATCTTGATAGACAATTATTTAGCAGGTGATCAAAGGATCGATGATGATGATAATGATGATAATTATTATTATTATTTTGAAATACTAATCAATTTATCATATGTATATATGTATATTAAATAGACCAACTGAATCCAACACATCGCAATTGCGAAGAAGAGTTATCACCGCAACAATATTATTTATATTAGTAGCAACATTTGTGCCATATCAATTTGCATTTTTAGTGGCTTTTTTCGTTCATCTTATGTCATGTATACGGTCTTTGGTCATGGCTCATTTACAAGTAAGTTTTTTTTTTGGAGGATAAAAAAAAAATATTATTTATTAATTAATATTTATTAATTATTATTATTATTATTTTTACGATTAGCAAAAATCCATAAATGATCAAGAGATTTATAATTATTATCATTATTTACATTCAATCCTAATGATTCTATTTATGTTACTGCCTTTCAATATACCTATCCTAATGGTATGGATAAGAAATATTTCAGTTAGTTGGTTTGAACCATTTTCATGGGACAACAATGTTTTAGCAATTGCACCTATAGTATTTTATGTTGAGATTATCACTAATGTAAATAATATGTTGCCTAGAATTGTCGAAAGGTAATTAAGTTAATTGATTTATTGATTTTTAATAAATAGAATTCTTAATATTCATTCATAATAATCCGTTGAATTTTCTTTCTATTCCCTTCGATGTATATATATATATATATACATGTATTATAGAAAATCTAGGTTTATAACAAATTCATTGCTAACTTTCATCATAATATTTTCATTGTTTTATGGAGTAAGATACACTTATTTAATTTATTTTTATTCGTTGGGATTCTTTACATGGCTTATAGTATTACATCTGAAAGATTCATGGACTGGAAAAACAATTTATCATTATCTGCTGGGTTTATTCAAGTCAAATAATAATAAAAAATTAACTATAAAGTCAATTATAAATAAAAGTTATAGAGATAGTTAAAAAAAATAAATATATAAATCAAAAGAGAAACAAAGAAGTTGTAAATTTTTAATATTCATTCATTCATTCACCACCAACCCACACACACCCACACACACACCCATACAATCATTCAATCATATCATTCAATCAATCATAATTCTTTTTAATATTATATTAGAATAACTTATTTATTTATGGATATAATAAATTTTCTAATACTACTAATTTAATAATACTAGTAACAACAGTAATAATAATGCTAATAATAATAATAAATAAATAGAATAAACAATAAAATTAGGCATAATACCTGTTTTATTTTACAATCTTTGAATTCTATTATTCAATCGGTGATTCTTTAGGGTTGCTATGCGAATTCGAAATAGAAAGTGTTTTTCTTTAGGTTTCACCATTCTTTTGCACTCAAAACTAACAAGATTTGTCTTAGAAGCCCTTTTTATTTTTAAATGTATGGAAACGAACATATTTAAACGAAATCAATTCAAAAATTGTTTGTCTTAAAAGCTTTATATTCAAATTGGAAAACGTCTGTAACGAACATTTCATATTTAAGTTCCCATTTACTTGTAGTTTTAATAACGTCATAAGAATTTTCTATAATTGTCATTCACGATCTTCTACTTTTCGAAACATCAGGAACCGGGCGAGATCTGTTTGTTTGCCGTGGTCCCAATCACAAGAACTCTCCGTTTTGAGTGTATCATCGTGACGTTATTTTTCTGATTTAAAGATTGCATTTGCATGATTTGAATACTAACACAGTGAATTAATGGTAACCAGTTATGTTTTCATAAACTACTGACGAGTTGTACGTTTTTAGGCCTCGGTATATACTTTCAAATTATTTTTGCAGATTAGATACAAAACCGCAAGTCTTTTAACATCGATATCTTTTTGAATAACTGGTTTATGCTCGCTGCCTACAATTCGATAAAGTACGTATTATTATTTTTAGTGAATTATAAAGAAAATCAACTAATTGATTTGTTCGTTCGTTCCATTTTTATTATCGATAGTAGTTTACAGGATCAGCTAAAAATCTTTTAGTCGGTGGTAAATATTTTTTTGAAATATTTTGGTTGGTTTCATTGACGGTATATATTTTTTTAATATATATTAATTATAAGATCACAAGAAATTCACGTATTCAAAAGGCCTACCAACTCAATGATTTTTACAAGTATGACCAACCATCTTCATTTTCATTCTTACCTAACAAATATCAAGATATATATATAACAAACGGCGCTCAAGCAAGCTCGTAACACTATCTTTTTTTAATTCATTTTATATGATAGCGATCTACATTTTTTCTATATTGATATTAATATGTCTCAAGCTGTTGGCAACGTAAATAATAAAACTTATTATTTTTATTATCTTATTTATTTAACAAATGATAATAATTAATAATATGTACAATATATAGACAGCTTTAGCTTATGCGAGAATATGGCATTTGGTAGATGCTAGGCAAAGAATATTGGGACGAATGGCAAGTTCTATTGCTGTGACTTTAATGGGTAAACATAAACCTATTTATGATCCAGCATGTAAGTGATAATTTATCATACGAATCATGTGTAATTTAATATCAATTTTACATTAATTAAATAATATTCATTTTAAAAGCTGATTGTGGTGACTATGTGGTGGTAATAAATGCAAAGCACGTTACAGTGACTGGTAAAAAATCAGATCAAAAGATCTATCGACATCATACAGGATATCCAGGTGGATTGAAGGAAATACCTTATAAAGACTTGTTAAGAAAAACACCTGAAGAGGTAAAAATAGAATAAACATCAAACGAGATAAAGCTTTCTCTGATTTATTTTATTTATTTATACAGATTATTAGAAAAGCAGTATCAGGAATGTTACCAAAAAATAGATTGAGGGATATTCGACTCAGTAGATTAAAGGTTTTTCCAGAATCCAAACATTCGTATGAAAAGAATATTATAAAAAGATATGACCAAGAAACAATGTTATTGGATGGTAATAATGATCATTTTTCAAAGATTTATAGAAAAGAATTGAGGAACAAAGAAAGAAGAATTAGAAGATTAGAAACAAAAGAGAAAGCCAACACCATCAAAAACACCAACACAACAAATTCTTCCTATCAAAACAAAATTAAATAACTATTTATCATTGATTTATTTTTAATGATGGAATTTGGATTTTTTTCCTGGTGACCAATTAATTGTTGCTTTTTGAGTGATATTCCAATATTCCAACTTTATAGTTAATTCTTTAGCTCTAACGAAATCTTTTGCATTAAAAGCATCCGATAAATCTTTTATTATCTGATTGATGTTTTCTATCAAGTAAACAAATAAACAAATAATTAATTAATTAAATTGTTGTTTAAATAATATTTGTAAATTAATATGGGTGTATTTTTTTGTTACACGACAGATTTTAAAAATCTGGTGGCACCAAAAAAAATTGATTTTCTCAGATGATGATGACACTCATATTATTTATTATATTTACCATCACATTCTAATTTGATCGATTTCACTTCATCTTCACTTTCGGCTTCCTCCAATTTCTCTCTTGACTCCCAAGTTTCCATCAACAATTGTGGATCTTGTACAGATTCTGATTCTGATATATCAATGTTATTCAAATGAAGCTTTTTAGAATAATAATGATGATGATGGTTTTGAATTATTATTATTTTTTAATTTTAAAGTTTTATAGTTATTTCAACAATATAAATTAAGAATATTTACTATATATTTAGCTCTTAAAAGAGGTTCCTTCAATACTTGATAAGCTTTGTTAATCGAAGAAGAAAGTTGTTGTGCATTTGTATATTCTTGCTATATAATATTTAATTGCTATTAATCCATACCTTCAATATTAGAAATAAACTGATTATTTATTAATTATTAACTCACTTTATCTTTATTTCCATAACTATCAGGATGTACTTGTTGTTGCAATAATAAAAAATTACGTTTTAATTTGCTTTCATCAATATCAAATATTATTGGCTTTCTATATAATATTTTTTTTAGAAAACCTTTTATCAATATCATTATTACCATCGTTATTATATATATATAATTTTTTTTTTAAAAAATCAAAAGAATAAACTTACGATTTATCAACAATATTCAACATTTCAAAATAATTAATATCGGCAGGCAATGCTTTTTGTATTACACCACAATCTTTTCTTTCACAATGTAAAGATTTGTAATCAATTTGTGAACCACATTTCCAACAATGTCTTTTATCTTTTGAACTATTGCTACTGATGTGATTGTGATTATATTCAAGTTCCCAAACAAGTTTTAGATTTTTAAATCCATCACATAAATATTGATAATTTAATTGTAATATTTTTTTATACTTTTCAATATTGTCCCTTTTTTCTAATTTAGATAATTTATTATAATAATTTGTCATTAAATTTAGTGTATTTGAACATATTACATGTTTTTGCTTATTGAAATTCTGCTGATTTTCTTTTTCTGCTACAAAAAAATTTCCCCTATTTTCGATAAATTTTTCAAGTATCTCAATATAATGAAGTTGTTTTTCTGATTTTGAAGATAATTTCGTATTTAATTTTATAATTTGTTCTTCTAAGGTTGTTGTATCAACTGTTGCTTCAACTTCATTTGATGGTGGTGATGATGATGATGATGATGATGATGATGATGATGATGATGATGATGAGGTTTTTGATGTGAATAATGATTCTGGATTTTCTTCTAATGTTTTTAGAAAAACTTCTGCTTTCTTTTCAACATCACCTATGTCATGTAATTGTGTTGGCAACACTCTTTTTTGTCGATGAATTTCTTCTAATTCCAATATATTCTGCAGCAATGTAAATGAATATACTGATATATCATTTTTTGTGGAATAATCGATTTTTTTCTCAGAATTCAGAAATACTTCAAGAAATTCTTTAGATGTTATATCAATTCTTTTTATACTTTCAATGGTATTTAATTTCATCGAAGCTGATAATATAATCAAAAATAAATATGGATCATATTGTGATAAATCATAATATGTCATTAGTCCAAATGTTTTGAACAATTTATCCAGATAAAGTTCTGATTCTGTTTTAGGTTGTTCATTTTTTTCTACTACAACTGTTTCTTCTTTTACTTCTTCTATTCCCTTTTTAGCGTCTTTTTTTTTCTGTGTTTTATTTGGATCTTCTTTATTTTGAATTTCATCATCTTTATTGCTGTCAATAATTTCTTGAATATGATTATCATTTAAATCTGTAAACAATAATTTTATTTTTTCATCAATAAAATAATTTCTTTCCTTCCAAAAGTCATCTCCCGAAATCTTATTAGAATATCTTAGCATCAATAGTCTGAATCCCTCCACATCAGGCAATAATCCATATTTTTTTCTATCAGCCAACATTTTAAACATCACATCTTCCCCGCCAATTTTCTCATCACATAAACAATTAAATAATAATTTTGTAGTTTGGAAAGTGATTGGTAATAAACATCGGCGCCATTGTGAAATCAAACTTGGCAATAACTGTGCTTCTTCGCGATTAGCAATTTTGCAAATCAAATTGTTTAATGAATTATGCTTTGGAATTTTGTGTAATGGTGTAATAGATCGAGTGTTTTTAATCAAAGTTTCAATTTTATCTAAAGTTTCTTGGTTTACTGCTGTTGTATAAGTTTTTGTGTTCCTCTTAATAATAAACTTTGATATCGGAAGTTCTTGAGGTCTGATTGAGTTCCTTGTTGTTAATATCATTCTCATTATCATCTTTGCCAATATTATTGTAGATTATAAAAAATTTTTTATCTAAAAGATAATAAATAAATTTGGCAAGATCACTGACCATCATGCAGGTTGGACACGTGATAATTGCATGATTTAACAAATTAAAATTGAGAGACCAACTAAAGTTTGGTCAAATATATAAAGATTCCAGC